CCCCCCCCCCCCCCCCCCCAAACCAGCGGCCATCAACCCCCTTTCTTACCTTGGCCACGACGGTCTGCGACGTGTCTGCGAATGAGGTGAGGGGCTTCAACACGCCCTCCACATAAGACGACGGACGGGACGGCGCCTGCATGTGTGTTTGTGATGTGTTGTGTTGTGTGGACTGGTCGCACCCACCGCACTTACGGGTTTGTTGGTCATGCGGTAGACGGCAGGGATGCCCCTGAGGGCGGCCAGGCTCCCGCACGCCGCCGACCGAAGACACCCTACCAAACACTCCACCTGCACACACGCACACAGACATCAACCCAGACAGTATCTCTCTCGTTGGCCGCTCTTTCTGCCATTCTCATCCCTGCCTCACTCACTCACCAGTCGTGTCTTGACGGCGAGGAGCTGCTGTGTGGAGTGGTCGAAGAAGTCCTGGATGACCAGCTGCAGCTTCACCGGCACACTCACGCGAGCAGCAAGACGACCGGCCTCCAGCGCAACCGGGGAGCCGCTTCATAGGCAGGCCGACACAACACAACACAATACACGCACACCCATCAGCGTGTGATGTCCCTCACTCTCCCTCACTTGATGGTGCCGTTGTTTGTGACGTCCTCGTCCTCTCTCCGCTGGCCGACCGACCAAACCACACACACACACACACACAAAACCAACAATCTCTCCGGTTTAGACTGATCAACCCACGTGTGCACATATTGCTCACTCACCGCGGCCTCAACCCTCGCGAATATGAGCTGCAGCACCCGCCCCACCGCGAACCCACCTCCTTCAGGCACACACCCCTCCCGCCATTCGTCCAGTTTGGGCCGCGTCGGGTCGGTCGATATGGCCCGCACCACCGTCAGCAGGTCGGACACCACCTTGCCGATCTCATGGTAGCTCACGGGCGGCTGCCCGCTCCGCCACACTGTCACGTCCTCGTCTCTCTCAGCGGCGCTCGTGGTGGTGGTGGTGGTGGCGGTGTGTGTCTGGGTGTGGGTGTGAGTGTCGTCGTGGTGCTGGAGGGCTTTGAGGAATGCCTCAACGTAGGCTGCGTATCTGGCCAGGAGTTCTGCCGTGAAGCGGAGGGCGCGGTCGAACATGACGTGGAGGTAGGAGTGGGGGTGCCACACGGCCTCGATCTGCTGCAGCACCGCCACGCTGCCAGCCATCCAGTACATCTGTTTATGTCCATTGCATTCATTGCACACCCATATGAGCATCAATCAGCTGGATGGTGTGGTGTGGTGTGGGGATGCGCTTGGTGGGTCAGGTCATCTGACCTGGTCGTTGTGCATGGTTCTCTGGTCGAGTGTGCATCGTTTGGCGAGGATGGCCTCGAGCGCCGCGAGGTGTTCCTTCTGCTTGATGCTGAAGTACACCTGCAGCTTCCACTTCTTCTGGAAACGCACATACGCCTCGCTCCTCCTGCACACACCACAGACACACAAACACAATAAACACCACACCCTCCCCCCACTCACCACTCACCACTCACCCACCCAGGCACCCACGCCCTCCCTCCCTCCCCCAGGCACCTCACCTGAAGGCCATGACCTCTCCCTTGGTCACTCGTCTCTCCAGCCCCCGCAGGAACCCCTGCAAAGCGGTGTAGTTGACCACAAAGATCTGGGGGTAGGCCGGCATGAAGATGGAGGGGAAGGTGGTCTCGATGCGGCCCAGGAGGGGCTGCGCGAGGGCCTCGGTAAGCAGGTGCAGCGAGGGGACGAATGTGGGCACGAACTGGGGAATGTGTCGGGAGGACAGGGACCGCAGGAGGGTGCAGAAGGCGGACGCGTCGGACAGCAGCGTGGCCTCCACGGCCGCCAGGAACTGCTGCAGCCGCTGATGAGAGAGGCAAAGAGAGAGGGAGAGAAGGGTGGGTCTATGGGAGGGAGGGAGGGTGGTAGGGTGGATGGGCATCTGTCTGTCTGTCTGTCTGTATCTCCGTACCTCTGCCTCCCTCCTGGCTGTCGTGTCGCCGGCATCCGAGTCCACACCGGGCCCTGCGGACCGCCTCTCGGAATCACGCAGGGCCTGCAAACAAGTGAGTGAAGAACCGACATGGCATCCGCCTGGCCTGTCCGCCTGTCCATCCATCCATCCATCGGTCCCTCCCACCTGTTCGATTGCCGCGTCAACAAACACGTCACAAAACGCCTTGATGACTGCACACACATCAGTCAGCATCAAGTCAGGCAAAGCAGGCAGATCCATTCCATGCCATGCACCCGCTACACCGTGTTGTGTTCCTTGGCTGGCTGGCTGGCTCACCGGTGTCGCTTCTGTCGATGGCCATGCAGGCCCTGCAGATGTGCGAGACGGCCAGCGCCTCAGCCCCCCTCCCGCCCCGCCCGCTGTCCTCCCCCTCATCCGTCCCGGCAGCCGACATCGAGCTCAGCGTCGTGCCCCGCCCCACCTGCACACCCAGACCACTCGTCGACCCCTCCGTGTACGAGCCACGGCTGCTCAAGAACTGGTGGTGCTGGTAGTGCCGCCTCGCCAGTCGAAGCAGCAGCTTCTTCAGCTCTTTGGCCAGCTGCGTGCCGAGTGTGTCCAGGAGGGCGTCGAGGCGCGAGAGCAAAAGGGCGAAGCGGTCAGATCTGGGGGGCGGGGGAGGGGGTGACCGCGGCGGTGGTGGTGTGGCGGTGCTGTCCGCTGCTGTTGCTGCTCCTGTGTTTGTGTGTTTGTGTGTGGTGATTGCTGTGGCTGTGTCTGTGGCTGTGTCTGTGGTTGTGGCTGATGGAAGGTCCAGGTCGATGAGGTTGTACTGGACGCGGCGGATGTCGATGGCGAGGTTCTCGTACAGAATGTAACGCGACAAAAAGTCACCTGACGAGACACACGAGATGACAGAGAAGAGATAGATGGGCATCCCATCCCATGCTTGCTTGCAGACAGACAGACAGACGGACAGACAGACAGGCAGTGTGCGTATGTATGGTGTGTGGCACACACCGACCGGTGTGTTTGTGGTGGTGGTCGCGCTTGAGGTGTTTCTCGATCTCGTCAATGAGCGCCTCGTTCGTCAGCCACCTCTCCACAAACGCCCTCTCATCGCTCACCCGCTCCTTCTCGGCAAATAGCGCCCTCGCCTCGTCCAGTATGCCCTTGAGCTCACCGCGGAACCCCTCAGCATAGGACTCACAGTCCGCCAGCGGCCCCTTGAGCGCCTCCAGCTTGCCTTCGAGGCCGCTCATCTCCGACGAGAGGTTGATGAAGTCGCTGTAGTTGTCGTTGATGAGGGCCACCAGCTCCTGCCGCACTTTCTCCAGGTGGTCCTTGAGCCCCTGCCTCAGCTCACTCATCGGCAGGCGCCGCCGGTGCGCCACCACGAAGGCGCGCGCATCGAAGGCTGAGGGATCTGGCGCCGTGAAGGCTTCGAAATCTATACATGAACTGTCCGCCATCGCTCTTGTGGCGCGAGAGAGGGACGGGCTCCCAATCTGATCTGGCCTTCTGCAGATCAGCAGATTTCAGCAGATCACGGGCCTGGACAATGCCACTGTGCTTTGCTGCTGCGGCCACCGCTCTGAATTTAAAAGCTCGCCATCGGTTGCGAGCCGAGATCTTCCCCCCCTAAGTATCTCTCAGGAGCTGCCCCGTGCTCCACTCGCTGCTACCCATTGCTCCACGACTGGTAAGCCGCTGCGCTGATCTTTCTTGAGCACCTGCACGGGACACGCGAAGGAAGAGGGGGTGCCTTGCCCTGCCCTGCGCGTGACGCATTGATCTCCGTGTGCGGAGGCAGTGGTGATGTATGATGTATGTGATGCATGGGCACATAGATCACCACACTTAGATCACCTGACTGACCAACTCCCGTGTCTCGACATGAATGACCCATGCCCATAACGACCACTCGTGTGGTGCTCTGTGTGTGTGCCTCTGTGCAGGTGCCCCTTGACGTCTCTGTCTGCACACACGCCACCAGCTGACCAGGTGAGCGAGTGAGGGCGAGTGCAGCCTCCAGGGCTGGCACATGACAAACCAGATCACTTGCTGTCGGTGGCATGCTATGCTGGCGTCTCTCCCTCTTTCAGATCCTCAGCTAGCTGTGTCCCCGACCGTCACCAGCAGTCACTCACAGCCACAGCAGCCAGCAGGATGCCGTCCCGTCTCACCCGCTGCTCGTCCGCCCCCCTCAACCCTCAGCATGACCTCGAGGACCTCCCCAGAGACTTCTCACTCAGACCCACTCCCATGAGCAGGGCGCTCCCCGAGCTGCCCCCCTGCAACCTCCACAAGCTCCCCCGCACCACCAAGGTGCCAGGCCTCTCATGGGACAGCGCCACACGCACCTGGACCGCCACTTGCGTGAAGCGGGGCACGCGCGAGTTCGTGGCGACGCGGATGGGTCGGGGCGCCATCATGGAGGCCCGCCAGGCGGCCGTGGAGTGGTGCACGGATATGTCTGCGAGGGAGGGGGTGTTTGGCCGGACCGACAGACATGGCGGAACGGCGGGGGCGGTGGCCTCCGGTGGGCAGCAGAACCAGGATAATGTGAGGAAGGAGGCTGCTGACGCGCATGTGGTGGTGGGGCGCAAGGAGAGTGCCGAGGACAGGGCGCTGATCGCCTCGCCCCAGACAGAGATCAAGGTACGTGGGTGCACAACACACACACTACACACACGCGGATTCCCCCCCCCCCCC